TGAGCAACTTGGCCAGGGTCACCTTTGTTTGTAAGCCAACTTACTCGTCTTTCATCTTATTCTAGTCAAGTGCTCCTAACTATAACCTCCCTCTTTATTTCCACCTTGAGTCCACCCCTCTTTCAGTGTGGCCTCTCCTCTCACTGAAAGGTGAGAGAAACAAACATTTGCCCCACGTCTTCCTTCTGTTGTGTGAAAGCTACTCTTCCTCTTCCCTAAATGAAGAGGGTAGAGACCGCCGAGTTTCCGAATGTACACCTTTCCTTCTGCTCTCTTTCCCTATCACATACAGTCCACATTTTGCCTTCTGTTGGTTAGTTTCGTTTTAGTCCTTTTCCCACCAATGTACAATTAGGAAATGTTTTCTGGGTTCAGAAATAATCTGCCTTCCCGTGTTCTTCCCTGTGGCCTTTTCAGAAATTTAAATCCCTCTTTTCTCTGAATATTCACTTATAAAATAAAAACATAATTAGGAAGAAAAACAAATACTGGAAATCTATCTTGGTTTCCCCATACTTTATATGGAAATGATTATAATTCTTATTTATTAAGTTGGTGGATGTCAAACTCAATTCAATTTAAAAATGTATAAATGATTCGATAAAAACACAACTGCCTGTCTGAAGAGAGGGCTAAAAAAAAAAAAAGACATTTAGGTGTGATGATAACAGGTGGTCTGGTAAATACTGGGACCTCAGACATTGTGTGGGTCTTATAAAGTCCTCTGGGTGGCAGGTACAAGATCTTGTTTCCTAGAGACAGGGAGGAAGCTCAACTTGGATTCTTTAATGTATTTAGTTTTTGTTTTTCTTATTTAGGAAGTCAAAACACCGGCCTCATTTCAAAACGTCCACAGCCCCCTAGGATCTTCCCAAGGTTTAGGCCCTGAAGGTGTATGTCAAAAGTGTTGGGTGGTGAGCTATGTCACCAGAAGGAAGCCTTGTGCTATTTTGAAACTGATGCAACACACTGAAACATCATACACATATCATACCAATGACACACACGCTACATTGTAACATAGCATGTGTCATACATACATTCTCTCTCACTCACACATACTCGCTCTTCTTGTCCAGCGTTAGAAAAGGAAGGCTGCCAGGAAGCAGGGCCCAATGATTCGAGTTCAAAAGGCTGTTAACGTTTAAAAAGCAAGTGTCCCCCTAGTTCTCAGCCTGGCTTTGAGACATGTGGGAGCGCTTCAAAGCCGCGGTGCCCCTCTCGGAGAGCTCAGGCTTGCAGTTGGTCCCCAAATGTTTACCAGCATGAAGATGCCTAACTTACAGGAAGTGGGAAATGGGCGTGGGGGGTGATTTTTTAGGGAGTGGGGAGAAGAGGGTGGGGGGTGTTCTCTTGATGTGGTTAGTCTGTCATTGACCTTGTTTGGTTAAAGCAGGAGTTGAATTAGAAAATGAAAACACGTTTCATCTCAGGCACATTTCATCCCATCTTTTACTTTCCTTAGGAAAAAAAAAATAATCTTTCCCCCCCCAAGTGAAGTCAGGTCTCCAGATTTGGTATTCAATCTCCTTTCATTCTATAATAGTCTTCTCCTCCAGTCTTCTGCCCCTTACATTGGAGTTCCCAACCCACCCAAGGACTGGGCCGGGACCAGTAGCTGAAACTGAGTAGCAAGGTTTGGTTGGGCCGTTGTGATGATACCATCAAAGGGAACATATGGGGGTTTCAGAGAGCCAGCTATTTAGATCCTTCATGATTTGCTGCTATCAGGAACAGCCTTAATGAGAGAACTCTGCCTGAGAAGTGCTGATTAATAAAGGTAACTGAGGTTGGTTTTTTTCCTGGTGGAAAAAAACAGGGAGGAAAATAATATAGTGACTAAAAATGGGCCAAATTATTAGTTGGAAACAAACATTTTGAGACTTGAGATCTCAGACAGTGGCAACCTCAGATAGCCCTCTCTGCACAGCTGTACCAATGCCAGCGTCGTCCTGCTTTCGTCGTCATTCTAAATGTGATGCTTGGGCCTTCTTGAAGGGGTGAGTGAAGTTCAGAAGGTCACCCCCTTTCCTTCCCCTTTAACTATTTTGTGCTGGACAGTACCTAAATATGAACATGCTTTTTCTTATTATGCGGGAGGCTTCCTTTCCTTCATTACTTCTTCCTTTTTGGCATGTTTTATTTATATTATTGCCTATCCTTGACTGGTATAATTGCAATTTTTAAAAATGGTTTGGTTTAGGGGCGTGTGGTTGTTGTTGTTTTGGTATTATTTTAGACAAGAAGAAAAGATTTGAAGAATTTTATAATCCAACACTCTGTGTCTCCAAATTTACTTTCCTTAAGGTTCCACTCGTGCCTTTGCCAGCTCAGCTGGAACACCTGGAACTAATTTTAGGGTTGCCTGGCTAAGCCCCACACTGGTATTTGAAGTTTGCGTCCTCCTTAGACTCAAGCCCATTTCACCACCTCTGAAGGTGAGTGCAGGCTGATATTAATTAACAGTGAGTTGATTCACTGGCATCTTCCAGTCATTGAAGTAAATATTTGGCTTAAAATAGCCTCTTCCCACCTCAAATATCCAACTTTTTGCCTATTCCCTTACTCCATCCTGGTTGACTCACCAGGGCTTGCATGGTATATGTGGCCTAAGAGCAGAGTTGGATTCTGAAAGGGAAGTGAGGTCCTCTTGAACATCTGCAGGCGAGACTGTTTGAACAGCAGGCCGGCCTTCAGTATGACTACATTGTTTTTCTGTCCATTGTGGCGCTGACTCAGCATCAGTTAGTAAACCCTCTCAAGAAGGCTGGATTTCTCTTGTTTAATTATCATCTTGGAGCTTTCTGAGAACTCTTAGGAATTGCTCATTCCGTTTTAGACATCTGCCAACTAAAAGTCCTGTTTCCTCTTGGTGCTAGCGTCCCCTCTGGCACAGTGTGCAACAACACGCCACCAGGCTGTAAGCAGAGAGTGTGTTACTTATGTCCCCTAGTGGGAATTTAATTATTCTGTACTACAGAGGTTGTGGAAGGGTTTTCGACACAAAAAACATTTCAGGAATTGCTCATTCCGTTTTAGACATCTGCCAACTAAAAGTCCTGTTTCCTCTTGGTGCTAGCGTCCCCTCTGGCACAGTGTGCAACAACACGCCACCAGGCTGTAAGCAGAGAGTGTGTTACTTATGTCCCCTAGTGGGAATTTAATTATTCTGTACTACAGAGGTTGTGGAAGGGTTTTCGACACAAAAAACATTTCCTGGCACATAATCTTTGGCTTCCCCCCTCCCCCCCCCCACCACCCCCCCCCCCCAACCTCCCCAAAAACACACCCCAAACAAAAAAAAAA